CTATCAGTTAGCAGCTATGATGCTTACGGTTCCTCATACGTGGGAAGGAAACTGACGTTACCCTCCTGGCCGTGAGCCCAATATCCTCAGAATGATATGACAAATCGACTTAATCGTGGCCCCTAGGCGGAAACAATTGACCCACAGTTGTTGCGGCCTGACGAACTTGAAACACAGCAAGGGCTAACCACTTAACCTAATGGATTCAATAAGTTTCGTAGCGGTTTTACATTTTTTTTTATCTCTGGATAGAAATTGCGCTATAAGCGTTTTTCGGTCGTCTAACAAAGGCGTCATATTATAAACGAATAGTCGTCTCTGGGCTATTCGGGCCGTCAGACGCTTAAAAACCGTGTTAGCGAAGAAGGATTCAATCTCTTTGTCCCTCAAAGAATGTGAGAGGAGCTCAAGAGCTCAGCCGACTTCATCTAGCATGTATTCCTTACGTCGGACAATTTGCTTGTGTTTTGAATCCGGCCATAATAGCTATTGCTATGTGTCCCGTTGCTAACGTTCCTCTTGGGAAAAACTAATCTCACATTTAATATTTTTACAGCGTTCCACGAAGTATTTCAACGATGCCTCGAATCTTTTCTCTCACTAGGCCATACTACCAGGTAGCGGACTGTCGATACTGACCGTCATCTCGAAGTGAATAGGATTTAAGGACGCCATTGCTGATTGCACGACCTTTCTGAATTTTTTACTCTATTTTTGATGGCCGCTTTCCAGTTGCGATTCACTTAGGTATTTTTGTATCGTGTAGACATCTCAGAATTGATCATCGACCGCACTATTATGACGATGATGGACGCATGCGTAAGGGTCCCGATTACCTTTTACCGTCCTTTATAAGGGGATCGTTGTCTGGGGGCGGCTTCATATACTGGCATCGTTTTAAGGTTTTTGTCACAGCCAGATGTAATACTTGTAACGTCGAGATGCTTTCAGATCGATTTATTGGCAAGGCTCTTACCAAAAAATAGCCGTCACTGTCGCATCATCACTCGCTACGTTAAGGAGGTAATTTCGTATGAGTTTAGATATTTGCGCAAGATCTTCTGTGATCTATTCTTCTGCTGAACTATTATAGTTGCAAATATGCACTCTACGAACGTGCCAATAGTGTCACAGTATATGAATGAAAGGTTGGAAGAAGGATGCTGGAAAGTTAATCGGACATGACATATTCCCCAAAGGACGATTTACCCTTTTGCCAAACTGAATTCCGTTGCTTTAAAAAACAGAGCTTCTGTAGCTGGCTTCCTCATGCCATAATGATACTAAGAATCGACTTCCGTAGCGATGATTTCTCGATTAAGCGGCGCGTCTGTGTTTGCTTTGATCAACGATCAACAATTCGATGAAAAGATGGAAAATTTGTGGTGAACTTCGTAATCGTTTATGTATGTGCCTTCGTGCTTCTGTCGAGTTGTCCTTTCTTTGTACGACGGATGCGTTTGAGGTTAAAGCTATAGGCCTTTAGAACAGCTACAGGGAAATAGCAGCAGCGGCTTGTACCCTGTGGAACAATGTGCTTCAACGCCCCCCCATCGGAGGATGCGCTTAGATTTTTGTTCATCAAGTAGACGATAATTTTCTTTATATTCAATCACTAGTCATGGTAGAAAATGTTTTGCAATATCTGCCGCACTGAGCTTTGCATTTAAACGCATGTAAAATTTATATGTTGAATGACGTTGATGATAATGATGATGATGATGATGATGATAAAGATTTCCGACGTGTAATCAAAGTGCTGTTTCTACTTCCCTCTGGTCGTTTTTTTTTACTCTTATTCGATGGCACAGTTCTGGCTTTCCATCGCCAGTCGCGGCGGCAGTAAAAACGAGAAGCGGCCTCACAATTGCAAGACCACGATGCAAACAGGAAAGCATTGAGCACTATCAAACTATTTGACAATACTTGCTTTTATACAAATCGGTGCCGATAACATATATATATATATATATATATGCCTTATTTTGAAAGTAAAAATTATCGGATATCAGGGACGTGAACAGTATCGGCATTTCAGGGTATACGTATCGGCTAATGACCTTCGTATACGTATAACTCTAATGCATTGAACAAGATGGTGAGTTACTGTACATATATATATAATATGTTAATTTTTTTCCCGCTAGCTTAATTAGCGTTCAGCGGGTACCAAACGCACGAACAATCCATTTGTTTTTGAGAAACTTTTTGAGAAATTCATTCACTAGAAAGCCATCAAGTATGGTTAATTCAAAATGTGGATGGTCTCTCTACCTCCTTTGAGTCGCCACCAGATAAAAGAGCGAGGTTTGTCTGCAAGGATGAAACCTTTTCTAAAAATCGCTGTGATCGCGGAAGATCTGGCGCTGATTTCACATGAATTACATTGTTTAGCTATAGGACAACGATTCAGGCAGACTCGGTCCTATTTTAAAAATAAGTTTATACGACGCGGTCACCTTTGCCGCGTGTTAAAAGAAAGCTACAGGGAAATGTATAATAATCTCCTAGAATCTAGAAACTAATTCCAGTCTAAAAGCATATCGTTATTAATACCTTAACCAAAATTAGACTAAAGTATACATCGTGTTTATTTGCAATAATCTATAATGTTGTTTCTATTTTAACCCTTTTGGTTCTATTGTGAACTAGTAAATTTCCTTATATTCCCGAGTGTTGGGTCTGTGTGTCCGACCGCCACAGCTCCCCTGAACATCTGCCTACCCGTTTCCTATGCGAAACGCCCTAACGAAACGGATATAGGTCGACGGATTGCCATCAACAACTCGTGCCTTAGTTCAACAGTGAATTCTTTCTCCTTTCGTAATCAGAAGGCTCATCATTTGTATTCAAATACTGTTTACCCATATTTGACTAGACTAGCCGTGCATACGAAGCGTGATTACTGTTTCAAATCCATTATAACGTATCCACCTGAGTTGGACTGATTAAACTTGGTCCTAGCCATGCCAACGTCAGCGTCTCCGTGGGGAACAGATTTATTTTCATCGTTCTTTCCCATCAGCCCGACGACGGTGGCTCTATGATGATAAAGCCCCGGAAGGCCTCCATAGCCATCGCTGGTTCTCTTCATACGGTGTTCTATCTCTTTTTCGCTTGGCGTTTTAGTCTCTAAAAACGGTGTTTGATATTTGAGGTCAACCCTTTAAAGGGTCAGGGGGGACCCATTAAGGTAGGCACTTTTTACGGATGGATGGGGCGCTAGTACTCAATCCATCGCTAAAAAACCAACAAAATAAAAAAAAAACTTGCAGAAACTACTTTAGAGGGTACAGTATGATTGCGGAAATATGGTATTGTATAGCATAATGATTTTGTGGGAAATACTGGCTGAATTTGTAGAAAAGACATCGACATAGAGGAGAGTATGTTCGTTCCTTTGAAGACCATTTTAAATCAAAATATTATTATTTTGATTTTTTTTTTGAAACCAATCAAGTGTTTTTTGTATTTAATTATTAGTTAATATTATTAACTAATAATTAAATACAAAAAACACTTGATTGCTTTGAAATGCAAATACCTAAAAACGCCCCTGGGCCCTAGGAGTGTTTACGGGGGCTAATAAGTTAGCTTCTTCTTCTATGGTACTATCCAGATGCTGATGGAATGAAGTTCAAATGAAGTACCGAAGCAGGCTGCTATTATCGAGGGCAATAATATAACATTTAATTAACGATATAATTAAATTATTTCGGTTGTGTCATCTGGTAATATCAAGTGTTCTAAATGGTGTGGAAAAACGCCCAATACCTACGGGCAAAGAGGGCGCACAGTCTCAAAAATACTGGATTTTCGGCCGGAGAAAACTAATACAATGAAAAGGGTCCTCACAAATAGAAATTAAAAAAAAAGTCATGTCAAAAAGTAATCACTATAGACGAGGTTTTACATAATTTCAGCAAAAAATACAACTTATTCCACCTTATAGCTTAAGTACCAGTTGACGAACTGGATAACTAGAATAGCCTCGAAAACACCCGATATCTTCGGAAATAATCACTATTTTTGTAAGTATCAAGACTACGGCCAGGTTATCCGCGCTATCGAGAAATAAATTAGTTCCTTAGCCTATGCTTATTTTAAAATTTCATCATATATAAATATAACGATAATTTCAGCATTTTTATAGTGCTAGTCGTGTCAACGTTCGGATAGTATTTGGCTCCTACGTTTCCAACCATAGCGGACGTCCTTAAACTATTTTATTCTTAAGCGCGATTAATAGAAATTATTTATTATTTGATCTGTTTCAGTAATTTATTATTTCAGAATTATTTCAGTAAAAGGGGTGGGGTCGATCCTCCTCTACCCTAGGTATTTCGCCGGCAGTACATCTCTCATAATCGCATATTCCTTCGAATAATAGCCGCCGAGTGAATTTTGCTCACATTTTTAGCGGAAAAGGAGTGTCCGCACCTGATGCTTCCATTGGAGAAAATGGATGGTTAATTAAATTTTATCACTCCCTAAAAATTGATCTTAAGTTTTAAAGCACCTTCTACCCATATTGGTATAGGTTAAGCTACTCTGTGTTTATGGTCCCCTCTTTTTGTGTGTTCTCCATGTTCTTTCGGTTCTGAAATCCTTCTTCTTGATCCATCCAGCAAACCAATCTCCTCCCTCTTCATACGTAGTTTTTGTTTCTGGGTAGCGTGCCAGGACGTTAGATAGCAGTCAACGTCTTGATCTGCGTTTGCTCCATTCCTTGCCGCTGTTACTGGCACCGCATGAGATGCCTGTGTATGTGTTGTTTCCCTCTGTTATTAAATGTATTAGTAGTAAAGCTGGTGCTGGGTGGATGGCTCGGCGGCTGCTCGTTACGTCGTCGCGGCGGGCCGATCGTGGCGCCCTCGTGCAGGGCCTCGTCTGTGAGCGAGGGGGCGGACTCTCGCCCCTCGAGCGCTCTCTGCTGAGTATATAGCTGACGGCTCCTTCAATACTCCGGCCAAGCCTACTACCTCCGGACCGCTCCGGGCTCCGTTAGATCTCACTGCGTCTAGCAGCCTGTCTCGTACAGCAGCCTTTCTGGTCCTTTCCGGTCTTTAGCTTGCTCTCCTCTCAACTGCTGCTGCTCAGCCTGAAATGTGGCTGGCCGTGTGTCGCCTCCGACACACAGACAAACGGCGACGTCAACGCAGTCCAATCCAATGCCACCGACGGCAGTTCTCACCAAGAGATCATAGCGGGGCAAAATCTAAGGTGTTCCCTCGGATGCTGCCGCCTACTCAGTAGACCAGTTGGGTGACCACGGTTACACCAGTTGTCGGACAGTCGCAACGACTGTACGCTCTGTGTATGAGAGGAAGTTTTAGATCAAAGCAACGGAACAGCAGCATTCAGAGGTCGGCAAGGTCGCCGCTCGGAGGAGTAAGAAGCATCAAGGAAGTCAAGACTAACGTCAGTCTATCCACCCAGATCGTGTGCTGCCTAACCTGAAAGCCGATGGCCTAACAATGAAACGACGGGACCGAGGCTATCAGTGTGTGCAGAAGAGCGAGACCAACCGTCACGACGCGTGTTAGCAATGTCCAGTGTGGCAGTGAGTGTGCGCAGAGCAGAGCTAAGCAAGAAGCAACATTGCTCCATTGATACTCGCTACTATTTTTCTATGTGGAAGCAAAACGAAGACGAAGGACATGGACAAAAGACGCAAAACTTAAGATACAGTGAAATAGGCGAAACCATCGAGAAGTGGACTTGTTTCGATGTGTTCATGGTACTGTCCTAACCTTTGCTGAAAAATGCTCGACGCTATGCCACCTCGCATTCGTGTCTCCTCGACGTCCTGCTGTGTAAAGGCAGTTAATTGGTGGGTGTACGTATGATTATCATATGACTGTGCGCTTACGTAATTCACTATATATAGTTATGAGCTGATACTACCTCAAACTAGGCTGAAACGAAGTGCGCCTCGAAGTGAATTACAGCTTCAGGAGGACTGGGGAACAAGCATTATCAACGCAAGGGTTTAACGTTTGTCAGACCCTAGACCTTTAAAGGTGCTCATTTAGCTCCATCGTGTCTTGACGTGCCCTATTTCGCTATTCATTGCGCGCAGCTATGGTCTGCACTGACGTGCGCACTAGACAGAAAGATGACGCGGGGCAACGTAACCTTCAATCCTTCGATGTTCAACCGTGGCCGTTGGCTGTGATACTAAACGACTCCGTAGCAGCCGCCATCGCTCTGACGAGCTATGGACCGGGGTTGAATCCCGTAAGGCTGAAACCTCCGTGAGGTCGACGCACTACGACGGAGCAGTCGGCCACTCCTAATCCCTGTTACGTGAAAGGAACAATAACGGCTCGAACAATGTAGAGTACTGGCTGCTTTAGAGGCCAGCCAGCTGCTTACTTCGGTAACGAACTTGTCAGGTGAGACCGTTTAGTTCTAATATAACATTAGGTATATGCTTCCATTTACCTCAGTCGCTCACTTTCCGGGGTATTTATACCCTTTCTGTCTGTGGCGGTCCTCGTAGTATTGTTCATTTCATCGTCGTTGGCTGACTTCAAACAACAATAAACAATTCGTATAATAACAATGGTTCAAAAGATATTTCCCTTCAACTAAGCAACGTTCTGTTCAATTGAAATTCGCCGACGACAATTTGTGAGAAACAAATATAATGTGAAAAAAGAAGCGTAATGAGTCTAACACACGATACGACGATGAATCATAGGCGGCGCTGATTCACCGTCAATCTACGTGAAGGCAACACATCTTGCAAGAACTGAAAGATAGCTTCTATATAGAGAGATCTAAGACATGCGATGCAACGAAGACTTCAAATGATCGGTCAGTCCGTTGGTACTTGCGAGGAAAAGAATTGACGGAACGGTTAGACTGCACGTTAACAGAGTAAACGCTGTTACAAAGCGGGAAGTGCATCCGCTGCCGGACATAAACAACACCCTCCGCATTCTCGCGTATTCCTGCTGCTTCTACACACTAAACATGATCAGCGGATGTTTGCATATTAGTATACATTTCAGCAACAACTTTCTGCAGGGATGTCCTTAATTAATTCGTGCAAAAGCCATTCTGGTCAAAAATGCATCCGCAACCTTCCAAAGGCCGCTGGGTCCATGAAATACCAGTTGATTCTTGCCTGTTTTAACGATATCAGAATCTATTCGATGAACTTCGCTGCCCTAATATCCCGGTTGTAGAAGATCCTGGGACAATTACCTAGGCCAACTTACGGCTTAAAGGCAGGAAATGCGCTTTTGGTTTCTAGGAGGTCGCATATTACGGCTATAAGATCAGTTAAGTAACTGGGGACTTAATTCGGTTTCCTGATGTCAAGTTGACCACTGCTAAAGTCTAGGACAACGAAGAAGCGCGTTCTATGAGCTGGAGCCAAGGTTAATAGCGGCGGTGCTGGTCAAGACCGAAGGCGAGAACAAGCGGATCTTCGCCTACCCTACCTACCACCTGACTGACGCCGGAAGTAAATATCACTCCTTCAAGGTGAAACTCCTGGCAACTGCGTTACATTGGAGTACCGGTAAAGTATTGAGTTGGCTTGTTATGCCTAGACCCTTTAGGAATACGAATTTAAGACAGTCCGTTGGACGAGTACTGCCGATGCCTATAGGAACGCTTCCTGACGGCTGCCTGTGAATGATGTGGATCTGTATTGATCTAGAGGCTTGCAGAGAAAAGACCCTCCACTGCGTACAATGATCTCAAGCTTGAAATGTCGAGCTCGAATTCCAAAGCACATGGTTAATGGTAGCCCAGCGTAAAGGACCGGCGGAAGAAGAACTTTGCTACAGTCTCGTTGCTCCACGCGGAGAAAGCCCTAACTTTTTGCTATCACTCTGGTGTTGAGGAGGCATCTCGCCTTCCGGAAAACCCAAAGAAGGAAGTGCTCCTTGATCGACAGTGGGCTTTGATGTTTAATTCGGGAAGTGGTGGCAAGTTGGTAGGATCTGTCTACCGAGAAACGACTATCATCAGATTGAAAATCCCAGCCAGGAAGGTTTTTATGCTTTGGTAATAGTCGATTATTGTGCCTGCTTCATTCATCTTGAACTGGTTAGGAAGGTAAGGATACTGTGGTTCAAAGAAGTTCCGCTTTGTTGGGATCGGTCTTCGGCGCAATGATGACAGATAACGCGCAGATATGGCGCGAGATCGTAGATGAAACTTTATCGGACTCATTCGGCTACCTGGCCGCCTGATGCAATGGTGCGGTCAAATGGTCCGGCATAAAGTAGGCACTTTGGTAGACGAAAGCTGCAGCCTCTATAAGGACTCGCTGTCTCGACTGGCCTTTTCACTTGACACATTGATAGACCAGGGCTTGGGCAGAACGTCAACTGGGCTGACTTGTGGCTATCCGGCCATACAGCTTAAAAGATCCCTAAATTTAGGGTCGTACGAAAAAAAGGAACCGCAAAATTGCACCAGCGTGCGCAGCGCCAACTCATAGATCGGCGGCAGGAGCTTTTTTTTTTAAGCAGGGTGATCCGCCCCCCGGGAAATTCGAACTCGACGCGAGGAAACTGACAAAGGTCGAACGGGCAACACCGGCTATTTTAGAGGGCTCATTTCGTCTGCTATGCGCTTTTTACGATTACCGGCAGAGTAGTGTTGCAGCTAATCATGAAGAATATACGGCCGTGCGTTAGCAAGCACACTCTAGTAACGCGGCGTAGTTGAATGTAAAGATGCGCCCAGCTAGTATTTATCACCATAAAATTCCTAGGTAAAGGTGCGCTAAATGAGAAAATGTGAGGTACGCATAAGTCGTGTTAAGACGCTAGCATTTTTACACTGCGTGTCGGTTTGTATATATATTTACATACTACAACTATATGTTGGCCATATTGGTGTTGCATAGCGTGTTCTTCTCTATAACAAACTGCCCACGTAATATCTCTGTTAACTATATACGTTTATTAGCAGAGATGGGCGTATTCGGTAAGAAAATCAAAGAATGCTTTCATTTCTTAAAACTTGCTTGAGTTTGACTTATGAACATATTACTACTATTGCAAGCTGGATAATAGATAGTACTGGGTAATCACATTCAACGTAGTGATCTACCACAAACTGCTAAGCCGTAATAAAGGACCATCAATAGTCCATTATAAGGTCAGTAACCAAAATATACATACAGAACTTTAACTTAGCGTGTCTTATTTCTCCATTTGTGTATAGGCGTTATTCAATGGCTAATTTTGATGCCATCGCTTGGACATCTTCTAAATTCTACCGCAAGTATTTATCCCATTCACATTTGTTTCATAAAAATGACAGAGCGGTTCGGAGCAGTTGTTTACTACTGACTTAGTAAAGCCCGATCAAGCGAATGAGCGTGTAAAAAAATTATTTGCAAAGAAGTTTCTGCAAAAAAAAGCCCGAGTACTCCTTGGTTAAGTTGTTACATAATGAACAAATAATATAGTCAGTCGGTTTTTCAATTTTTTTTTTGTTTTGGACCTACCAGTGGGCCTTATATGCATCTTCAGGCTGACTTGGGCAAACTTCACCGTTCTACTTTTTTGTTGTAGCAGCATGTAGTAAAATGGATTGAGACCATTTTGTGTGAAGGGCACACATCTGTTTTCTTTTTCAGTTAATTTTTGTGTATGGGCAATCTACCCGAGGTATTTTGCTACACCTTTGGGGGCATCAAGAGAATTCGGACAACCATACAACTGAAAGCAATGAAAAATTAAGTGATCTATTTTAATGTAGTATCCGGCGCGGTTGTCTTTGCTGCAACCACTCCTGCTATTGTAGTTTTTTTTTTTCGCGGACGCGTATTACGCCAATTTGGGCCAATTTTTTTAAGAGGCATAGAACCCACCCGTGCATGCCTCGTTCTACATACGCTCAGGTTTACACACAGCTGTATTTGCCACCCCTGTCGTTGCTGCCGCTTCCAGAGCACCAGAGACATCATCGTCATCTTGTTTGCTCGTGCCGCGCCCCTCAAATCGTTGTACTCATCGCTACTCGATGTGCGCCAGTTGTTCTCAAACTTCCTTCCGAAAAACCTCTCATCTCCATAGTAATGGGTACAGTTAGCTGTTGCGATGAATCATAACGGGCCGTGGCGCTAAGCATTTAGCGGACGAAATATGCGAAGGAACAGCGAATGGCCTGAGGTCCGTAGAAGGGATCTGACCATATCGTGTGTTGCCTTGTGCCTCTAAAACTGAAGATGCTTTGTATGCCGCCCCATCTGCGCCCGCGTCTTTTCCTCTGCTATTATTGCCGTTACTGTCAGCGTCAAAGACTTCATATGGCAACGTACCATGTACCTTCTAACCTGCTTTAGCGAACCAACCGAACGCCCAACTGCATTTTTTTTTCCACTACCCACATTTACCAGTCCTGCCAGCACTCGATGTTGGTCCTGGCATTGGCAACTTTCCGTACTTTCGTCGTACAAGGCTCTCTACAATCGTCTTCGCGACCAACCGTCTCCGATTGGTACCGTCCTTTTTTGTTAGGTACTTCTCTCGTGTTTTTGTTGTTCATTTTCTTAGCCGCGGGCTTGTCTTTTGCCTTCTTTCCATTTTCATAGCCTTCTTCTCGTGCATTTATGCTAACACACGGCAAGCTATCTAGCTGTTGAAGCAGCGACCTACGCAGCAGTCAGTCGGCCTGCCGTTTGAAATCGAATATGGGTGCTGAGTGTCACCAGCGTTGAGCGTCAGGCCTTGTTTTTACCTGGACGACGTGAAAGGACAAGACTTAGCGGTGGGTGGGTGGTTGGCTGGTAGCGAACGATCGAACCAGAAACACGAACCTGATGGTAAAAGCAAAGCGTTCTTTCAGATCCTGGCC